TTGTCAAGCTCTTCCAGCTTTAAAACTTTCCCACAAAGAGCTTTAAATATGTTACTCAATTTAATTACCACTAAAGTGACTTGCTTTGACATTAATAAACGTAAAGCAAAAGAAAGTAAGTCCTGCATCAAAATGTTATAATCATGTGATTTCAATGAAAAAAGTTTTCACTCCTTCATATTCACACATCTTGATATATTTGACGTATAGCCATTTAAGACTTTCACATTTTTTAAAATCTTTCAAAACACATCTTTCTCAACTAGACATCTTAAAACAAGCAAGAGGCAATTGGGATTTGCCATTAAGAAGCAACTTCGAATGAAGGTCAGGTCGAATCCCCATTTTAACTAGGTTAAGCTGACTCTTTAAGTTATCTTTTGATCTTTTATTTACATTGAGAATTGTCCCGATAAAATTTTTGTAAACATTCTTCTCTATGTACATCACATCAAGGTTATGACGTAATAAATTATATTTTCAATAAGGCAACTCAAAAAAGATACTTTTTTGCCACTATCACTTTGAACATCAAGATCACCAACTTGAGTATCAATATCATGAACTTGAGTAATAAGAAGCCGAACATCTTCAAAAATCTCCTTCACTCTTTCCTTGATTGAGCCATTTTTTCATAAGTGAAATTAATATCTTTTAATTTTGACAAAATATTAGACCCACTAATTGATAACGGTGCTTTTCTTAACTCTTCAGTTTCATTAAAGAGATGTTTTTAAAATCTAAATCGATGATTATCATCTAACTATTAATGATGTACCATATAACTGAACTTCCTACCATTATGTAACCAGTTCAAACATGTCTGCACAATGCAACATGGATAACAATAACGACTTTTTGTGCTCCAACCAGATAAATTCACCTAAGCAAAAAAATTTTTGATAGTCTACAACAAAACAGCACATTTATTCAAGTTATCTTTCTTTTATGCATAATAGGTCTTAACTCTTTCCAATAATTACTGTAATTCTTTAATAAGAAGTTACAAGTAGATGTTTATATCATTACCCAGACCTTTTTTCCTGAGAATTATTATAGACAAGATAAATGATTATTACTTCATGATAATCCATGGTGGTAAATTATACAAAAGCAATACAACTGGTCAAGTACTATAAGAAGTACTCATCACTTTGAACGAGTTGAATCCATTAGATACTAGTCTAAGTATAACATTTTAAAGATTAGAAACAAAGTCTAAAAATCCAGAATAAAATGATTTTCATGCCAAAAAATCAGTAGGATGCCTCAATGATTGATAATCCATTCACTCATCATGATGCCACCTCATAGAATCTATAGTTTTAAAAGACATGAAGAGTAGTTAAAGTCTTGGTATTAATAAAAAATACCGTAAAACTTTTACAAACTTCTTTTGACATAGACTTCATCATCATCATCATTCAACCTTTCATTGGGATTTATATCCCACCAATGAGAATTATCGTACATATGACAAGATTTTTTATTTTTTTGATCACCCCAATACAATATGCAATCATTATGACAACTATGAATTTTATCATATTCAAGACCAAAATCCTTAATCATCTTCTTTGAATCCTTACAAGATTCAGGGATTTTTGCAAAAAGAAACATTTCTTTCATAAACTCTAATAATAAAGTCAAAGAATTTTCTGTTCATCCACATAAGCATTTCAAGTGAAAAAAACACACACAGAAAATAACCTTAAATACTTAGATCCTTCATAAAGTTCTTTATTTATATCCTCAAGCAACTTATAAAACTTTGATACTTCTCCACTAAGTTGTTGGTCACCTAAACCAATCCCATGTTCACCAAATTCATTTATTTCAATATTTGACTAATTAAATCCATCATTTTGGAGAGATGAATTATGAAAATGTTTGGTTATGACTGTTAAAAGCATCTCGCAACATGCCTTCAATGTTATCTTGTCTAATAGGATCATGTTGGTGTTGGGGAGCCCTTGAAGTTTAAGGAACTCTAGTCAATGACCTTGATGGTACAAACTCTCCATGGAAATATCAATTAACATATCCCAAGACAAATCTAATACAAATTAAATATTCTAAAACAACTTCACATATTTGCTAATTGATATTAGCACATCTCAAACATGGGCATAATATCATATTATCTTCACTTTCATTTTCAAATGCAACATTAAAAAAAATTTCCACTCCATCTCAGTACTGTTGACTTAATCTTGACATTTGCATCCAACTTTTATCTATTTAGTACTTGCTACATTATCAGAATAAAATTATATAATTAAATTATATGAAAACGAACTATAACATACTAAATTATACTAAGTATTAAACCAAAAATAATAACAAGACGATGTCAGATATAACCTATTACAATGCGAAAATTAAAAAAAAAAAAGAATATATTGATATCTTGTTTTTAAAACAATACAAAAAAGGAAAAAAGATAACATCAACAAAAAAATTTATACAAATTTTAATTGAATATTCATACACCTAGAAACCTACTATGTAACAAAGGAAGATTAAGTATGTGACAAATACTTTACCTTATAATATTCACAAATGACTATAAATGTCTTTTTTCGGTTCTTTATCTTCTATTATTGATGATTTTCATGTACAACAAATTTTTTCAAGCAAGATTAAGTCGTTTCATCAAACACTATAATCTGAAGAAACAAACAAAACAAATGCCAAGATGAAATGAAAAAATTTTAGGTAACAATAAAGTCTAGGCAAAATATATTCATCGAAAAATCAATTCAAATAAAGTTATTTATATTTGGCTTAGTTATTATAATAACAAAAACTAATAAAAAAATTAAAGAGCTCCACTAAAACATCAAACATCCATAACACAAACATTACAAATTTTATAAATCATTCTAATAATTCTAATAATTTAGAAGGGGTGTTGGCATTCGCACCTGATCACATATCACAATATCATTGAAATCAAAGAACATCGAACTGTTTTTTTATTTTGAAATAACAAGTTTCTTTTAATAGATAAGACTAAGTTTTGTTAATTATAAATAAGTAAAAAAAGTCCAGATATTTAAGAATGATCCTAAACAATCAATATTTATATGATGTAATGATAGATAGAGTGTTCAATTTAGTAATTAAATTCAAATTACGATAATTTTGAATAAAAAATTATTGTAATTTGTAAAAGAGAAAATTCTGTAAATCTCAAATTCTGAATCAAATTCTTCCAAAGGAGAAAGCAATTGTGTGGTAGGTTATCTTTCAAGGTCAACTTTCTGATGACAAAGAAACAAATCACAATAGTACATTCACCAAAATATTCAGCACAACAACAAAGGACAAATGAATTTTATGATAGGGGAGTTGAGAAGTTGAACCGATCACCCGTTCTAAAAAATAATAATTAATATATTAGTAGTATTTTGGATTCTTCAATTTAAAGAAAAATAAATCAAAAGTTAATTGCCAATAAACTTTTTTTTTTCTTTTATCAGTCTTAGTAGCCAATTTGCCATATTAGCTTGAATGATGAAGTACTAATTATGTGACAGAATTTATTGGCATAACTACACAGCTTTGTACTTGCATGCCTAACTTTTTTTTTTATCTCAATTACTATTAATTTGTACTGATGTTTAATCCACTCTTGTAACAATTAACATATAATTAGTGATCATTAATAAGGTCAAGTGATATTATTATTGGTTTATGTGATTTATTGGTAGAGTACTAAATTTTTAATTTTAGTAATCCAAATTCAAGATTTGACAATTTTAAGTATAAAAAATATATATTATTATTGGTGATATACAAATTCATGGTGAAATGTTGGAATTAGACTGATTAATTAACGCCACATAAGTAAGCATAAACTTGAGACAAATAGCATTTTTCTTAAAAATATTAACTTTGGCTTTGGTCATGGTAATAAATTCATTAAATAATTTACATATTCTAATTCATTGAAATAGGAAAAATCCTATTGCATAATTTATCAAATTGTATAGATCTAATCCATATATATGATACAATTCTATAACTAATTAACGTTAGCATATTTTTTACTGTGGTGCACCTAGATTAACAAGGGAGTTAAAGAGGCTAGCTCAAGATTTTTCAAGGAAGACCAGTACCAAATTTGATTTCCACAAAGAAAACTTTTAAAATTTTGTCTGATGGGCTCTTTTAGTTTTTTTTTTTATCAATTTTATATTATAATAGATATTGGCAAGGATTCAAAACAGTAACAATGAAGTTGGGATCAAATCTCAAGTTTCTTTTTCTGAAATCTCAAGTCTTAAATCAAAATCATAATGTTATGCTTTTACAATTTGTTTACAAAAGGAAAGGAGGCAGGCATATGAATATCTCAATAAAGATTAGACAATATAGGCAAAGCTGTAAATTAGACTATCCCTCTCTGGTGAAAGGAAGAGTGAGATTATAGGAGAAAACTTACATGTAGATGTGGTAACTTTGATTAGGAAACTAGCAAAGAAAGGGAGATTTACAGAGATATGGCCTGAAAAAGCTTAACAAAAAGAGAAAAAGCATGGAAAATCAAAGAACAAAAACAAACAAGGTGGCCAAGCAAACAGTGAAGAAGGTAATAGCAGGGATTTAAATAGCGATCACGGTCACGTTTTCGGTTGCGTAGCATTTGTCGCGTTTTCGGATATAACGGAGATAATTGCGATCACTGCGGTCATCACGGTCGTGAAATTTTTTTTTTTTTGCACAATTTATTATAAAATGTAATAATTATAATTATAATTATAAAAACTCTTATTCAATGATTTTTAAAAATAGTTTATGACACTCTATGTTTTTTATTTTCTAAAAAAATTATTCACAATTTTATTTAGATTATAAAAAGCATTCATATTTGATTTATCCATAAAATTTTTCTTGGCTAAGTTCATATTCAATATTAATTCTAGACAAATCAAATATTAACAAAACATAATATGTTAAATACCAAGCATTTAATTTAATAAAATTACAAACTTAAAAATATAATAATTTCAAATTCCATCAACTACAATTATTGATACATATTTCAAATTTACCACATGGTAGAATGACGAGGAGGATCAGATTCTCTATCTTCACTTTGAGAGCCAAGTTGACTCCATCTCCATCCCTGAGACCTTTGTTCTTGATACATTCGAGGTGGAGGATATATTTGAGGATGATACATTTGTGGTGGAGGGTACATTTGTGGTAACTGATACATTTGAGGTGGAGGATATATTTGAGAAGGTGGAGGATACATTTGAGGTGGATAATAACCATATGGAGGTGGATAACCATGAGGAGGTTGAAAATTATGTTGTTCTGGTGGATAGTAATGTCTTTGAGTACTAGCAGATGATTCACTATACTCAAAGTTACTAGAATTTGATCTCTCACCTGAAGATGAAGAACCTCTAGAAATTTCATAGTGGTGCTTCTTTGCTTTTCCTTTTGATCGAGCTGTACGTGCACTTTGACCCTCACTAGATTCAGCAAATGGATTTCCTCCGTATTCTGCCATATTAATAAAAAGTCCACCAGTAGCAGCAAGCCCAAATTCTCCTTCAAGTGGGCTGTAAGGTCGATTTGCATCCATATTATCACCAAAATTCGCACCATCACCATCACCATCTCCATCACCATCATCATCTGGACTTAAACCACCACCATCATCACTCTGACTTGGTGTTGGACTTGAACTTGAATGAGATACATTCCTTTCTTGAGATTGACGTGATCGTTCAACATTCATTTCATTATCAGAATTATCTGCAGGCAACCAATCAGAGTTTTGACCATCTAATAGAGGATTTTATTTCTCTTGCAACCATTCTGTTAGTGGATCATCATCTTCAAAAATATGGTCAAGGCTAATAGGATTAAAACTATTATTTATTTCATCAATCTCATTCTTTTTTGATCTCTCATCCTCACCTCATGTATACATAGGTATATACAAGTTTCTGGAGTCTTGCAAACTTCAATCTGTTTCTTACTTTGGTGTGAATATAGCTAAATGTGCTCCAATTACGTTCACAATTTGATGCAGATGTTGTTTGACTAAGCACATTGATTGCTAGTTTTTGTAATTCAGGAACACAAGTGCCATATATCATTCCACCACTCAGCTGTATAAATTATTTAAATTAAATTTCAATGGCTATAAAATTAAATAATATAAATAAATTATAATTATTTAACTTACTATTTACCTGGATTCATTTGCTTCCAAGCTCTTGTGCTTGTGGACTACCAAATGTTTCATGCTTGTCCTCGAAATAATAACAACTACATCGATTGAAAATACAATAATAAATGAATAAATAAAAAATAATTTAATTTTTAATACATAAAACAAATGTTAAATTTATAAAATAGTATTAAATACTAACCTGATTAATCATTCTGATTTGAGTATCTATCGAAGGTTTTAATCTTTCAATAACTGCTTTTATACCTTCTAATGTTTCCTTAAATACATTTGCAGAATGTTTCACTCCAAATTGAAATTGTGGATTTAGATAGTAACCTAAACATAATTTATAACAATATTATATTAAAATAATAAAAACTAAATATAGAAGCAATTTAAGTATAAAAAATAAACATATTTTTTAAATACCATCTATATTCTTGGTTTACTTACCAACTGAATGCAAGTCAGAGTGCATGAAACTTCATCTATTGTCAATAATCTTTTCATATTCAGCAGAATAACGACAAGTTTGTTGAATTGCTTGTTTAGCTCTATCCACAGCCTCGTAAATAAAGCCCATTGTTGGTTTTTCATCACCATCCACAAGGCGCAACACTTTTACCAAAGGCTCATAAAATTTTATTATATCACCTGCTTTTTTCCAAAAATATTTTCCCAAAATGATTTTTTTGACTTCATAAGCAGGTCCTGATTTTTGTTGTCCCCATTTTGAATCTTTAAATTCCTATATATTCATCAATAAATTTTTAGAGTAATATATTTTAAATTAATATTTTAAAACAATAATATTATAAAAAGATGCTAGATTTAAATAATTGTACTAATTACTAAGTACTAACCTTTGAATTGAACATCTCTCTCAAACTTTGCTTTTGCCTTATTATTTCTTCTAATTGTATGAAATGAGTGGCAAATCGGGTAAAAGCAGGACGAAGTATTTGCTTCCCTTGTGTATATTTCTTCATCAAATTAACAGTCCAAATGTGATTGTATATAAAACAAGTCACTTTCTTTGCATCATCCAAAACCTTTGCCACATTTTTTTTCCTCCCAATATCTTCAAGGCACAAGTCCAAACAATGAGCTGAACATGCTGTCCAATACAAGTGTTTTCTCTTCTCCATTAGTCTTTTTCTTGCGGCCTTAAGTGCTGCCTCGTTATCAGTGACTATTTGAACAATGTATTTTTCTCCAATTTCTTCCACAACTTCATCTAATAATCTGTAGTAAAAGTTTGTATCTCTACTACGAACACTTGAGACATCTACAGATTTTCAAAAAATAGTCCCTTTACTACAGTAAACAAGAAAATTAATGATATGCATTTGATTCAAACTATTGGTCCAACCATCACACATCAAAGTGACACCCAATTCATTCCAATAAGCTTTTAATCCATTAACCCATTCATGAACTTGTTGATACTCAGACTCTAAATACACATCTGAGACCTCATAAGGTGTTGGAAGTCTTACATGTTGGCCAACTTCTGCTGCCACAGAAATCAAATTATGCAACCATGGGGAATTTGCTAATTGAAAAGGAAGTCGATCATATATCAAAAATTTTGATACTGATTCACCCATTTTTCTTCTTAATGTCTTTAGAAATGAATCACTTACTTTTGGTTGTCTTGAACTTTTACTTCTAACCAATTCAGGAATAGCTCCCCTTAATGAAAATTCAGACTCATTTGGAGTTCTTGTTCTTTCTTCAAAATATTCAGCAACTGAACCATGAGAGCTTCGTCCTTCTTCATATATGTTACTCCAACCACTAGTTCTTTGTCTGAATTCTTGTCTTCTGTGCCACTCATGTTGTGATTGGATACTATCTCGCATGGCTTGTCTAGTAGCAATGTCTTCATCAATAAATCCTTCATAATCATCTTCTCCTCTTAACTGTGATAAAAATTCATTTTTTCTTCTTTTGTTGTCAGCCTTTTTTGATTTGCTTTCTTGAAGAAGTTTCATCATACTTTCTCTTACTATACCTATTACTAATATAGTTTAAAAAAAAAGAAAAAATTAGTTGCACATGCTTATGTAATTTTATAATTTTTATTAAGAAATTAACAATAATATTTTCAAAGAAATTAAAAAAACATAACATACCAGTAACGTTGGGGCATGGTGCAACATTGCCAGTTTTATGAGCAATGTGTTCTTTGAAACGTGTTATTCCTCCTTTTACAACTTTACCACAAAGTTTACACGAAACATTTCCTCTTGTATTTGGCACAGGTGTTTCAAAATACCAACCTATATTCACTTGGCGCGCCCTCTACTCCTTTACTAGGGAACTCTTCACGTGGTGGCATACTTACTATTTTGTATAAAAACAAAATAAACTTATATTTAGAAATATTAATATTACTTATTACATCATTAAAAATTGATTTTACGCTAAATTTTTTAATTTTTAGTTTTTAATCTTAAGAATATTATTAAATAATTTAATCTTTTAGATGCACTAATTGATATTAATTTTTTATAACAAATAACTTCAAATAATTATATAATAAATACAATCTTCAATAATTACACAAAAATAATAAGAATTAATCTAATATCAAAAGAATTGACAACAATATAAATATCAAAACAACAAAAAAAAATTATTAAATTTCATATACAAAATTATAAATTAATATCTAACACAATCAAAATATAATATTTAATTTTAATTAATTTTTGTCTAACTTATATAAAAAATTTATCAATAATTTTCATCTACAATCTCTATGTATATCATATTAAATTATTAATCTTTTATTTTTTTTAATTATAAATCTTCAATCCCTCTAATTAGATTTTATCTAAAAAAAATTTCAAAAATTAAAAGTTTTCAAACTTATATTTTAATAAAATTTTCAAACCTATATTTTTTATTTTTTAGTTTTTAATCTTAATAAGAGTAATAGATCATAAAATGCTAAATTTGTTAAGTAACTTAATTTTTTTGATACAATAATTGATATAAAATTTTTTTTATCACAAACAACTTTTAATAATTATATAATAAACACAATCTTCAATAATTACACAAAAATAACAAGAATTAATATAGTATCAAAAGAATTGACAATAATATAAATATCAAAACAACAAAAAAAATTAAAATTCATATACAAAATTATAAATTAATATATAACACAATCAAAATATAATATTTAATTTTAATTATTTTTCATCTAACTTATACAAAAAATTTTATCAAAATTTTCATTTAAAATATCTATATATTATATTAATTATAAATTTTCAAAACCACTAATTAAATTTTATCTAAAAAATTTTCAAAAATTAATGATAAAATTAAATAAAAAAATTCAATCCCACCCTCCATACACCCTACCACACCCAATCCCTCCCCACCCCCATCAATCCCTCTCCACCTTCCCCCCCAACATCCCACCACACCCAATCCCTCCCCACCTTCCTCCCAACACCCTACCACACCCAATCCACACCCAATCCCTCCCCACCTACCCCCCAACGCCCCACCACACCCAATCCTCCCCACCCCCTCCAATCTCTCCACGTGCCTAAATATATCAAATTGTTTAACTCTTTCTAACAACCCGAGCCGAGACCATTCTAGAAACATTTCATTTTACTGTTCATCATCTTCTTCGTCTTATATTTTACTTTCTCTGGCTTTCCAGAAAAAAAAATTTTTTTTTCATCTCTCATTTTCTCTCACATCCCTTTATCACTATCACTTGCTGACTTACCTAGTATCTACAGATCTCGTTCATCTTTCAAACTCTCACAAGACACAACAGATCGATCATTTTACAGAAATTTTACAAAAAAAAAAGGTAATTTAACTTTCTTTTCTTACCTTGTTTAATCTTGATTCTTGAATGTTGATCGAAAACTTGAGGTTGATTTGAATTTGAATGCCGAAAATGTCGTTTGAATGGTTGAAACTTGAAACTCTGTTTTCTAGCTCGTTTTACAATTTTTTTTTATGATAAAGATCTGAGATTGTGAGCTTTATTTTTTGATTTGGCTTTTACTTTTACTTTTGCAGGTTTGTTGTTTTATTTTGCAGGCGTAAAATTTTGTTTTTTTGTTAAAACTATTAGATCCGTGAATGAAAAACGGAATAGCAACAATAACGATCCGTTATTGCCGCTATTGCCCGTTACGCCGTTATTTTACGGCCGTTACTCTCCATTTTTTATGGGAATGAATTTTTCAACCGTTTTCTATATATTAACGGTGGCGGAAGGCAGTGCTACCGTAATTTTACGGCCGCTATTCCGCTATCAACCCGTTTTTTGAATCCCTGGGTAATAGTAATAACCATAGAGGTGATAAATATAAAGAAACAGTGAAAAATGAGGTCTTAGTTCACCAAGACAGTATTACAAAAAGCTATGAAAGTGTTGGTAGCACTAGCAAGAATGGTGAGGGTAGTAGCGTTAGCAAGAATGGTGAGGGTTGACCCAAGCAAGAATGTGAGGGTTGTCCATGAAATTTAATAACCTTCCAAATGAAATCAAGCTGCCCATATATAACTACTAAAATATTTGTCCAATCAAACCAGTTCAGAAGTAGTTTACAAAGGCCTTGTTACAATTTGATTTTGTTGCTACATACCCCTATTCACTCCTAATCTACCATAAAATTTTAATCAAACAAGCACACAACAACACAAGAATAGCGCAAGGCAGCCTATAGCCCCAACCTAAGGTGCCAATCAAATATTTTCATGATTCAATGCTAAAAAATTTCAAAATCGCATTATATCGAGCATTCATTGAGAGGAGAACCCAAATTCTAAACAGAGAAGTGCATAATTCAACCTCGATACAACAAAACAATCCAAGAGTAGTAACAATTACAACCTGAATTCAAACCACAAAAATAACCAAAAAATAGCAAAGAGAAGAAGAGTAGTAGAGTACCTATGTTTGATTTCAACCCCCTCAGAAGAGCTCGAACTTTTTCCACTGTAGATGCTGTGGAAGCTTGAAACCCAATGGGTTTCGTTTAAAAAAGAAAAGTAAAATAAAATGAAAGGATGTGGGCTAAATTGAGGAAATAGGAAAGAAAAATGAAAGTGGAAATTTCAATGAAAAAGTAGAGCAAAACAATTTGGGTAGTTAGAGGGGAATAAAGGGAAAATGAAGAGAAATTAAGCAACCAAGCTCAATTGATTTGTCAAAATTAGGGAAAATTTAGGGTCGTTTATGATAATAAATGCCACTAAATTACATTTAATAGCAACGTTGTGTGTAGTTTTTTCAAAAAAAAAATTTAATTTAATTAATTTTTATATTTTCATTTGCGACATTTTAATCTACAAACACCGCTAATCTTTACTATTAATAGTATTTTGAGCTACAAATGCCACTAACTCCAGTTAATTAGTGGCATTTTCTATTACAAATGTCACATATGAATATTTAGTAGCGTTTACTTCATAAACGCTATTAATTTTGTAAAAATATAAAACTTAGTGGCGTTTATTAGTAAAACAGCATTAAAATATTGCCACTAAATACCCATTTTCTTATAGTGTCAGTTCAATTATATTCTTAAGTAAAATTATCCATAACTTAGAACTCAATTGAATCGAATCTAAACATGATTTAAAATCCTAAAGAGGTTCAGATAAGGAATATCATTATATTAAAAAATTAAATGAAGACCCATACGATACACAAAATAATGTTACTTACTTAATATAAGTATATACATATAAATTAATTTCTTTTTCAAATTTATATTCAAATCTTTAAAATTTATAACATATATAAAATTCATATACACTAAGTTTTCATTATCTTTGGATCATTTTTGTCTACAGTAATATTATACACTTGCAAAATTATATCAAATAAAAATAAAATATATCTTTTTAAAAAATAAAAACATATATATTATTGAATGATGAATTAAATAATAAAAGAATTATTAACAAACATTCACTTTTGTAATTTTAACTAAATTGTTATACAAAATATGAAAAATATGTGACAAAAATAAATTAAAAATATTATTTTTCATAAGAACGAAATAACAATAGTAATAAAAAAATATCTTGGAAAAAAAGTTATAAACTAAAAAAAATAAATTGCAATAACAATATAATATACTTTGGAAAAAAGTTACAAACTGGAAAAATAAAAAATTGATATAACACACTACATTTACAATCTTAAATTTATAAAAGAATTCTTTAGTGGCAATTAGGATTAAATAGATATTTTTCAAATTAATTTTTTTAAATTTAAAATGGATAGTAAAGATGGGATTAAAAACATGGTAGTCTAGCACTTTCATATGCTATTTGGTTCTCCACAACCTATTCTAATTGAGGACATGATGGAAGCTGTAGAGTGTAAAGTAATGCTTGAAATGAATGCACAATTGTTTTCAGAGTTCAAGGATGAGAAGGTTCATGAAGCTATCAAGCATATGCATCCATCTAAAGCACTGGGCCTAGATTGGTATGCCAACTCTCTTCTACCAAAGGTTTTAGAATATTATGGGTGTTGATGTAACTACTTTCTATCTGTCCTTTTTAAATGGAATGACCCCATTAGAGGATGTAAATGGCACCAATATTGTGCTTATCCCCAAGATCAAGAATCTAAAGAAAGTCACCAGTTTTCACACTATTAGCCTTTTCAATGTAATCTACAAAATCATTGTGAAGGTACTAGTGAACCGTTTCAGGTGGGTGCTTACCAATTGTGTTAGTGAGAACCAAAGTGCCTTTTGTCCTTGGGATCTTGATCACAAATAATGTTTTCATAGCCTATGAGATGATTCATAAGTTAAAGATGAGAAGTAGAAAGAAAGAAGGATTTGTGGCACTTAAACTTGATATGAGTAAGACATATGACATGGTTGAGTGATCATTTTTGAAGGCTATAATGGACAGGCTTGGATTCCATTCTCGATGGATTGATCTTACTATAAGATGTATCACTTCTATGTCTTATTCTTTGGTTTTAAATGGTAAGGTTAAAGACAAATTTACTCTTTATTATGGATTGTGCCAAGGAGATCCTTTTCAACCTTATTTATTTTTGCTATGCACTAAAGATTTCTTAGCCCTCTTCGTGAAATAACAATGAGAAAATTGATTTAATAGGGTACAAGCAAGTAGAAATGGGCATACAATCACACATGTCTTTTTCGTAAATGATGGTTTGCTATTTTTCAAGGCAAACCAACACGAATGTGAAAGAGTGAGAAGCATGCTACAGGTATATGGGAATAGTTCTGGCTAATAGATTAACTTGGAGAAGTCTCTGATTTATTTTAGTAGAAATGGTAATAAAGGCAACCATGAGGT